CATCCATCCATCCATCCATCCATCCATCCATCCATCCATCTACCCATCTATCTATCTACCCATCTATTTAGCTATCTATCTAGCTATCTGTCTACCCATCTATCTATCTACCCATCTATTTAGCTATCTATCTAGCTATCTATCTAGCTATATAAAACCCTATTAATGTTTTTACATAGCCTTTAAATCTGCGCGTTATTGCAAAATGGCCCAAGTTTATTGGAAAATATGTTTGCTACTTGGAGAGCGGCGGCGGGACGAAGCGGACCGAGTACCACTGTATGAATCGCGGATTATGCCGTCTTATTGCACCGCCTCTAGAGAAAAAAAATGGTAGCTTTAAAAGTTATCCTTTATATCGCTCGTAGATGCCTCCGCGGTTCTATTATTGGCACATGCTCCTCAAATGTCTAAAAATGATTCGTATGACAACTACATACGCACCTGCATCCTCCTGAGACTGTCGAAACAGTTAGCTCCCCCTGTGCACGCGCGTCAAGGCGTACATATCGTGTGAGATTGCAATGGCAGCAGTGCAACAAAGGAAATGCAACAAGTTGAGAGAATCTTGTGAGACGAGGCCAAGCTAGCTAAGGCGCTAGGAATGGTAGCTAGATAGCTATAGGTAAGCAAGAATGTATGTGTTGGGGGGTTGTTTCAGAGAGCCTTTGACTTTGCCCTAGCTGAGACTTGTGGACTCGCTCTAGCGGGACCTGAGAGCCCTTCGTGGTGTATTCAATGCAGCGCCATCCCCGGATGGAGGGGCTGCGGAGTGGCTGCGTAGAGTGTTGGCAGTCTGAGTCGGGGTCGGGAGCACACAAGACTAACCGACTTGTGCTGTGTGCTCCCGACCCTTGCGCTGTGTTTCGGCTTCGGCCCCCGGCTCTCGCGGCCCACAGTGTAATCTAAGTCATACATACATACATACATACTCGGCGGAAGCGACCTACCCACGGATATCAGCCGGATTGTGGGTGCCCTGGGACACCTACCACCGCTCCGGGATATCGAGACCAGCCCCCTGTCCCCCGGACCGTGGTGCTGGGCAACCGCGTTGTGGGGTAACCCGTTGCTCCCCAATACCGGCGAGGCAGACCCAGACAGTTTGAACCGCCGCCCGGGCCTGGAGACGCACTTCGTGGGGATCGCTACATGCAGGAAACTGCAAACGGTGGGCGACCTAGTGCGGGTCTGGGACCTAGTGGTGCATACTCGAGTGGCCTCCCTCCCCAGGTCGACCTGGCC